GGCACCTTTCTAGCGAAGCATCTCCTGAGTACGGTCCTTCCTAGAAAGGTAGTAACGCGGGATTTTGTGGCCAGCGTAGGCAGATAACATTTCATTTTTAGAGAGATTCTTAATATAGTTCCTTGTGGTTTAATTTGTTTAACGGATTATTTTTATTTTGGAAAGGGGAAGGCAACGGAAGGGGAGTAACGAATCCATTTCTTGACTGTACTGCAAAAAAATATCAGATATTGGAATTGCTCGTTTCTGAACTGGGTCAGCGGCCAAACCAATGTTGAGCTGTTGTACAAAACGGAAGACTTGACTTCCTGGCTGAGATTTGTGTCTAAGTACTGTCTCGGAGGGAATTTTTATGGTAAATTTTCAGAGCCCTGGAAATGAGGTTGATGGGAATGGGACCGGCCCCTCGCTGCGGTGCCAGCAGAGTGCTGCGTTCCCCTGAAACCCCATCCGGAACAGCTCTGGATGTCACTTCAGTGTTTATCTTCCACGTTAAGAAAATTTGAAAATAAAAATCCAATTGTAAATGAATTTCAATGTATTGCCTTAAGAACCTGCTGAAGAATGTACCACCACCTTTCACTAGCAGCCGTGTCGGGGTTCGCTCAGCCCTTCCCGCGGGGGAAGGAAGCTGCGGATGCCCCATCTCTCTCCTTTTTGGTTGCCTCTGGCCAGTTGGGGAAGGTTTTGCCAGCTCTGCTCGTGAGCAGCTGTGGTCCATGTGCGGAAACCTTGCTGATGGGAATATTTTTGTACATTTTTATCAATTATTAAACCTCGTCTTCTAGTGTGTACTAGTATTTATTTCTACTTTTAAATACTCTGTACAGCTCTGATAAATGATTACCATCTTCCGAGTGTTGGATTTAAGCAACATCTGCGCTCACAAAAACCATTTGAAGATTATTTAGAGTTCAGCTTCCTCTTCAATGCATTTTTTTTCCTAATAGATGGCAGCTGTTTCTAGTGGATAAATCCCCAAAAGGTCCGATTTGTACAATGTATTTTCTTGCTAGGGTGGTTACGTGATTCAGAATTCTTAAGAATACCGTTTGCGATTGGAATTAGTCATTTGAAATAGAAACTGCTGGTGAGAGCTGCTCCGCGCTACGCGGCAGGAGGTGATGACCTGTGGAGCTGGTGTGGGATTTGCAGGATGTTCGGTGCAGAGATCCTGGAGTTTTCCAGCAGTTGCCCTTCACTTGGGGGGGGGGGAAAAACCACCCGAGTTGTGTGATCAAACAGGATTTGTGGTAATACAGGGCTGCGTGTGATGTCAAAATGGGGGGAGTTGCTGGAGCACTGGCAGCGGCTTTGTTGCGGGTTGACGCGGTAGCGAGCAGCTCCCCTGGGCCTGGCAGGACGGCCAGCACGGTGCGCCCAGGGCTGCACGCGCTCAGCCAGACTCCAAAGGGGCGCTTTGCTGACCTCGGACACTCACTCTCCCGGGTTTGTACTTTAAAATGGAAATGAGGAGCTGGCGTAGCCGGCAGCAACGCCCGTGTGGAAAACGGACCGACGAATGGTTTGGGAAATGCGACGCTGATCATTAATCATGTCTTATGTTGGTTTGACATCGCTGCCGAGGTGGGACGCGGGGCGGTAGCGTGTGCTGCGCTCGGGTAGCGCGTGACAGGTCATAGCGGGTTGCAGATACGTTAGGACTGATGCACAATATTTTGTTACTGCCTTGCATTTGCATAACTTGCATAAGGAAAAAGTGTTTCTAAGTAAATACTACTTTTAAAAGGTTTGCCTTTATTTTTCCATTGAAAATAAAAAAACCCAAACCTGTAAATGTAAATTATTCTACTGGGGATTTTTTTTGTGTGTCTTAATTAGACCTTGCGAAAGAAATGCATCTGAAAAGATGTCTTTCAAAACAATCCTGACAAGGCATAACTGAGGTTCTAAGGGAAAATGAGTTCAGGCTTTTTTGCAGGTGTATTGTGTTGGTTGGTTTTTTTATTTTTCTTTCTTCTTCCCTCCTCTTCCCCATTCTGCGGCCACATCATTTCCCGGTGCCGCTGGGGTGGTGGGGCCGTGGTGCCCGTGTCTCCCGGCCGTGCTCTTACACGGCGATGCCATCGCTGCTGCCCGGGCAGCACAGTGCGCTGAGCTCAAACCCTCTACTTCTGCCTTGAAACTGAAAGGCTTTTTAGCAAGATTGGTTATTTGTAAGTGTTAATGGTGTCTCTCACAGTGTTTGATTGTATTTGATTTGCTGTTTTGCACAGCCCTCGCGCAGCTCACTCTCCCCTTTGTCCCCCCCTGCAGCTCCTGGACACCCACTCTCCCCCTCCCTACTGGTTTTTGTTAAACTCTTCTGAAAATTAAATCTGAATTTTTGGCTAAAGTATGAAGTTGTTCTCTTTAAGTTAAGGACTTAACTATTTGTCCTGTTGTTTTTTCATGTGTTTATGGCAGACCACTGATGGCCACTGGTTGTCACAGAGGGGTCGCTGCCGCAGCCCCGGGGGCTGAGTCCCTCTGCCCGGTCCCACACAGCCACAACTGTCCCCGTGGCCTCCAGCCAGCCTGGCTGTGCCACGGTGAGGAGCAAAGTGATGGCGCGACTGCGCTGGAGAATTATTGGGTGTCAGTACTGTGCGGTCATCACTGGTCTGGGCAGGGCCGGGGTCCCTCCCATCCGTCCCCAACCCCAACCACCCCGGAGAATTACGCTTTGAGGGGAACCCCCCCCAGCCCCATGCTGCAGTTACGGTCACTGAGTGAGCAGATGTGCAAAAGCAAACAGTGAATGGTTTTAAAAATAAAAATAAAAAAATAAAAACCCAAACCAACCCAAAACAGCGCCCGGGCTTTTGTGCTGCTGCCAGTGCCAGGTGCCCACCTACAAAATGCCACCAGTTGGGGAAAAAACATAAATGTGACCAAAAAACTCCCCCCGGAGATTACTGTGTAGTAGTGTAAATAGTTTATTTGATCTTATGGCAGGAACAGACCAGGAAAGTAACATGAACTGCTTTTATAAAACACTTCTAATATTGCTAAGAAGCAGGTCTATTACTAGAAAAATATTAAAGAGAACATGCCAGCATTAGTCGTATGATAATTTTTGTCTTCGATTAAAAAAAATACCTTTGAGCTTCAGAATGTGAGAGCTAGTGCTTTTAACCAGTTGCCTAACGATTTATTAAATTAATTGTCAAATTTTCTTTTGCAGATTAAAGTACTCTTCTGTCACTGTCGGTGACGAAAGAGGCGATTTGGCATGTTCTCTTTAGCATGTCAAGTACACGTTGCTGTAAATGCGAGAAGGTGGCAGTTTTTAAAGTAAACTTCCTGTAAATAGGTAAGCAGAGGTCAATGTGGTAACTTTTGAGCCCCAAACTGTCCATTTAGTTAAATATAAAAACAAAAACTATAAGTTAAAATAACATTCAGATTGTATAGCACAGGCTGATGCTTTTTTTTTTTTTAACAATATTTACAATATTACCCAGAGGCTAAAGTGGGAATAAAAGAGAAGTGTAAAAACCATAAAAAACTGCACCAATTTTGTAGCAAAATATCTGTACATTTAAAAACAGATTATCATATAACTACACATTATCCAAGAAAAAAAAAAAAGGGACCTTCACCAGTGGTTCACGTAAGCACAACAAAAAAAAAAAAAAGAAAAAGAAATTCAGTGGTTAAATACTATACAATAAATTTTACAATTAACATATTGATGCAACGAGACCAGGAAAGGGGAGCTGTAAGCAAAATGTATCTTGGAAAGTCCAAATTTCTCTCCAGTCCAGTTCTTCACCGCTGAGAAGATCGCGTACCCTGCCGGCACGAATTCGGCTTCATCCTGCTGCTCTGGGACACTGGTGCGCAGTAGTGATGGGGAGGGGGAAGGGGGGGGTGTGTGGGCATAATTTTGCTAAAGTGAGTCTCACGTCCCTTTTTAAGCCTTAAAAATGCAACGTAGAACCTGTGACCTATGGGATTCTCAGGCGGGGCTTCCCTTCGCTGACCAAACCATCCTTAGCAGGGAGCTTCAACTGGGTTGTCCAAGGAACTTGGAGCTGGAGTGGGGCACGGATCCCCCGGAGCGGGGCACAGGATGGGTCTCTGCACGAGCAACTGAACCGCGGCGCTCCTCAGGATCCTAATACTGATTACTGAGATGTTAATACCTTAGTGCTAATTAATAAATACACTGTTATTCAAAAGCTGCCTCCAGCTGAAGACCGTCGCCGTGCCTCAGCCACCCTCCTCCGCTTGTGCGCGGCCACCGCGTTTGGCCCCCCCAGCACCCCCCGTGCCTCCGCCCCGCGTCGCGCACGACCAACGGCACAACCTCAAGGTGACGACTCGTGCTCGGTTGCTCTACAGCGTGCGATCACCGCCGTCCGTCGCACCGCGTCCAACTACGGTGGCGGGGGGGGAGTCTGTGTGTGGTGGGAAAAGGTACGGGTGTCTTCTGGAATTATTTCCATATTATATATAGAAAGCCCTTAAATGTCTTCCTTTTTTAAAAAAAACCCAAAAACCAAACACAAAAGCCAGTAAGTGCAGCCGAAGCCGAGGGCAGCCCCTCGGCGGACAGCAGAGGAATGCATTGAAAAGCAGAGCACGTCCAAGCGTTACCTGTTTACAACCAGTCGGGATGCAGGTCGGGTCCACAGGAGACCAGTCACTAAACTTTTTATATCATCAAACCAAACTAAACACCCAAAAACAACACATATTTTACATTTTGGTTAAAAATACTGAATAACGTATTGGTGTAAAAAGATACCCAATCAAATCAAGTCCTATTGCTTTGATTAATTTGAGCAGGTACTTCAATTTTAGGCACTTGTTAGCTACGGTTGAGTGGAGAGCCCACGGCTGACGTTCCTATGCATTTTCTACGTCTTTGAGCCCTTTAGAAGGTGAATTTTGCTGTTCCCAAGGCTGTAAATGAGCGGCAGAACACAGAGTTCACACGGACACGGTATCATTCAAGCACCCCCTTTCCTCGACACCCGCAGGGCTCCAGCTCACATGGTTATCTCAGCACCGTTTGCAGAGCGCAAGTTCTGATCATCAAAGCGCCGCCGGACACTTCTCCTCACCGCGTCGGCCCGTCGGTACGGCTGGTTTCTAAGATCTGCGGAGAGGAAAGCGGCGTTCGTCAACACGCAGGGCTCGCCCGCGGGCACGCACACGCACACAGCCACGCACGCACGCAGTCTAGACACGGAAAAGTCCTGCTGGAAGCCAATCAAAGCAGCTTGTGTAGGAAGAGGAGAAGGGACTTCAACCCAACGAGAGCAGAAGTGAGCGAATACTGAGGTGCCCTTTTACTACGCACCCAAGCAGCAGGTAATACTGGTGAAACGCACCCAAATGCTGGTGAAACTAAATGGAGTCCTGCCCTCGAGTTAGCGCGAGCGCCTCCCCACCCATGGGCCGCTCATGGTCGTGACCGTCCATGGGGAAGGCAACAGCAACTGAAATCAGTCTGCTTGACGTACGTCTTGGTCCTTCCCACAGCCCCTCAGACGCTACCGGGGGCTGAAGGAGCTCTCTACAGCGGGATGAAGCTCGCTGGAGACGGGTGACCCAGGGCACAACGGGGCAAGTGGTCAGCAACACAGGGGTGGGTCTGCGCTCTCCGTACACCCGGTCATTGCCAAGAGGGTGCCCTGAGCAAAAGCAGCTGGAACGCCACCACCCGCTTGCAAAGCTCTGGCTGCCGTCCTGCCCCATGGCCACCATCTCGCCCGGCGGCCGAGATGCTTCGTTAGCCGAAGGCAAGGGAGCCACCAACCCCCTCCCTCCTCCTCCTCTTCCTCGCCGGCGGCAAAGCCCGGCCCGACCCACTCTGCTGCTGCTGCTGCTGGGGAGGGGAGAGCTCGGGGGGGCAGAGGAGGGAATTCTGAGCATGCAATGGATGAAGAGTGAAGAAAGCTGGAGATGGAGGTGTTGATGAACGCCTGCGTTACATGTGCTGTTACGTGTTACATGTGCTGTTACATGTGCGGCTACGACATAACGAGCACACTCAGTACACCTGAAGACTAATTGGAGCTAAAATAGTTCTTTCCTGGAAAACAAACTTGCCTTGGACTGGGCAAACCCTCCCTCAAATTTCCTGGCTGCCTTACGGCCTGGTTTAAACATGACTCCCAAACTTCTCAAGTCCTGGTGTACCCCGGCAGAAGGTGCTGCCCTCTCCCACCCCCAGCTGCGGGTTGTCCATCTCGTGCCCCGTTCGGTGGCTGTAACGGGACCGAGAGGGGGACAGCACAATATCCAGGGAACTACGGGGCTGAAACAACCCGGGGAGAAGACTGCTAATTTCATAGAATCATAGAATTTGGGATAAACTTGGACGAGAAAGGGCCAAAACGGAGAGAGCGTGAAGACAGTCACCAGCGCATGGCCTGTGGATCCCCGACACCACGGAGGGTGAGAACAAACGGTCTCAGTCTCCGCTGGCCTTTAGGCTCTCACCAGTATTACGCTTAGCCACATCTACCGACAGGCTGCCTGGCATACAGAGAGAGGAGGAAGCTAAGTAAAAAGTGATGCTTGCCAGCTCTGTGTATCCTCCACCACCGGTGTGCTAGAAGAAATCCTTACCCTCGAGTGAACATTTGGAAATTTAGTGATATTATTCTTCTTTAGGGCTAAACAGAAAAAAAACAAAAACAAAACAAAACACAAAATGATGGTTAAGTAAAAAAATGGGATGGAAAATGAAGAGCAAGTCAACTCAGCGTTCCGAACTCCCGGGCACGTTAGCCGACAGAGCGAGGGGGGGCGAGGGCAAGGCTCCGAGAGGGGGTTAGAGACGGAGAGGAAAGGACAGGAGGGCCACCCTCGCCTCTCGCTAACCAAATTCCAAGCTGCTTTGAAGATTGGCTCCAGGAAGATAACACAGCAATTAACTCGAAAGAGCAAATAACCGTTGAGCTGATTATAGTTTGCGATTTTATTAGAAGCATTCATAAAAATACATATCACAAAAGTGAAACACTGTTGTCTTCTTAAGCCGCTGAGTCCTTAATGCAAGACAACAGTGTTAACAGACATGCTGGGTTAAACACACCCGTCCTACGCTTTACACCACACCACGTGAAAATGGCTCAGTTCCATGTCAAGCTTTTCAGCGTGACAATTTCTGCCGTTCCAGCACGCAGCTGAGTGTTTCCCCAGCTCCGCTCCTTCCCTCTCCCCCCGGTTCGGGCACCGCTGCCAGTACCGAGCCCAACCCCGGCACTGCACAAAGGCCCCGTGAATCGGAACCGGTTAGTGCTCAGTAAACAGCTCTGATTTTATTCCGGTAACGTTGGCATGGAACTGAAAAAAGTTAAATATGGATGTGACCGAATGAGGAAAGATTTTACGCTGTTCATTTTATCCCGGATCTCACATGCAGACGGACATGCAGGTGCTGGTTAAAAAGTCTAACCCAAAAGACTCCTCGCAGAGGACGTACGTTATTACAGACAACCCTTCCGAGCCAGAGAGCAAACCCCAGGAGAGCCCCACTCAGTTCATGCAGCCCGTAATTTCGCTTTGGCATACAGCTGATGTGTTACATGCATTTCCCAGAGGTGGACTGGCACACAGGGAAAGACCCGCAGGCCAGAAGAGATGCCATAGGAAAGCCAAGGGAACCGTCACTTTTTGACTGCCTTTGAGCTCCTCAGCCTTGAGGACCGTAGGAAACCCGCACCAATTCTACTGCGACTTCCCCCACTCGCTGTCCTATGGCATTTGCCAGGAGGGTGAGCGATGCCTTTGAAGCGCAAGGATGGCCAAAAGCATCGAGCGCAAAGTCGATGGGATGGAATATAAAGTTACTGGAACACAAGAACATGCAACAGGTGACATAAATACAACTTCAGGTGGACGCTGGACATTACTATACACTCAACATTCACATGATCCTGGCTGAGATCCGTACAAACGGAGAAGTGTCAAAAATCTACAGCAACCTTTCTTTTTTCTAAGAGCATCAGATGTGAAAGAGGAATAGTTTAGTAATGGAATTCCTCAGTGAGAACAGGTTCGCAGAAAAACCGAGAGCCCCGCTTGGCGGTTCGAGCGGTAAAGGGCACAGTCTTCAGCACTGCATGGGAATAACAGCCAAACAGACAAACAGAGCCGTGAGAAGCGGATCTATCGCATTAGTACAGCGTTAGCGCTCGGTTACGGACACCCAGGGACTCTCTTACACGTTCCAACCAACTGTCTGATCCCACTGCGCTTCAGTAGGCTTTGGCAACAAGGCCGCTTGAGTCTGTCTTTCTTACGTTACGGCGTTTTCAACGGTTCTGAGAGACTACTGCTAAAGGTGCTCCGGAAAAGGGTGTGCTGTTAGATGCTGCTCTGCTCCGGATCAGCAAGAGCTTTTCTGCGCATCTGACGAGGCACTATCCAATTTACAACCACAATTTCCATCATTTCCCTACCACTGACTGAGATCTCATGGGCCGTATGCAAGCGACCTCGGTCCTACCTGACTTTCCGTGCCCAACCTTTAGGATTACATGGCTTGAGGCCGCCAGAGACGCCCCCGTAACGGGAGCTGCCAGGCACGAGACCGCAGGAAATATTTAATTTGAGTCTGGCGCTCCCTCCACCGGACTGCCTTTGGCATGTGGACCATCTTCTGCCACACCATCTGTTTCTCCCACAGAACAGGAGAACCACTTTACCAATTAAACAAGCTTGCAGGAGTCTGAAGGAGTTGTAGGAGCAGTAACAGATTAGATACTATAGCAACTCTGCCCTTTAAACAGAGAATATTATCTTAGGAAGCTATTAATCAAGGTTAAAAAGAGTTGGGAAAGCTTCAAGCACTTCAGCCCTGTCATCTAGTTGGGCAAAAATTCGCCGGCTTTCCTTAGTGAGCAGTAAAAGAGCTCTCCTGCAGGAAAAGCTCATGTGGAAAACATTCAGGAGCAGTAGCCAAGGAAATTCTGCCCAACGGCCTTTTTTTTGAGCTTCTCTGCAATGGAAACGAAGCGCTGTAAAGCTTCGAAGTAAAGCTATCGCAGTGTTAAAATCGGGTTCCTTTCACACCACGGGTGAGGAACGCGCAGTAAAATGGAAGTACTGCAATCACAGCAGCCGTACAGGTTACAAATTATTTGACTCCAGAGCAAAACGCAGCTTCGAAGGCAGCTCTTTTCGTCAGCAAATATTTGCACCAAAGTCCTGACTGTCTCTGGCTACAGCAGCGGGTTCTGCCCCTCTCCCCCCAGCCCCAGCGCGGCCTTTGCCTCCCGCACTGAGAAGCAGCAAAACCAGAAGCAGTTTAGGGTCATAAATCATTCAGGTTTGACTAAATGATTCGCTGTAACTGTGCAATAATGTGGCGCAATTACTGTTAGTAGGTTTTAATGAAAAGGTAGGCTCTTAATAATGTTAAACGTCCGTCGTTCATTCAATTGATGGGGAAAAAACGTTTCTGGGAAAGATCTGCATGGCATGCACGTCCCCACCGGAGCGTCTGCTGAGGTCAGGCACTGAACTGGCTACTCTAAAGATCAGAGACCGAGTACGTCCCCACGTGCTGAAAGAGAACTAAGAAACAGAGCGTGTGGCCGCGGTCTGCGCACGCAGCCTCGGCAGCGGACACGCGAAGGCAGGTTACTGGGGTTTGTGCGTTACACACCATTAGCAGAAGTTTCTATACTGGATTCACATCGCATAACAACGTCCTAAGCTGTGTAACCCTTTTTTAAGAAGGACACGAAGCCCTTGTGACAGCTACTAGGCAGATACACCGTTTTATCCCTTGTGAAAGGGCCTCAGATTACGGAACAAAAGGGGTTTACCTGTTATAATATCTTCAATAGCACCGTCCTTGCCTTCGTACACATGCCTGTTATCCTTGACTTGCCGCCGCCTGAGCTCTGCAATCAGCTCTTGCTGCTGTCTCTTTGTTTTATGTGAAGGAGACTGAAAGGAGAGAAGAGAGGACTTGTAAGGACTGACCTCCAGCTACCCTGCGTCTTCTCTCTTCCTCAACGTGAAACACCAGGTGATCCCACCAGAAGCCATCAGCAAACAGTAACTGCCAGTTTTCTGCCCAGTTTTGCAAGACCGGGAAAACGCGGGTGTGCGGTTAGCTCACGGCCCACGGAGAGCACGGGCAGAGTCACAAGTTAAGCCGGCTGCCGAGCTCCTTTTTTACAGTTGTGATCTACTTGCAAGCCTTCTCATCACTTGGAACTGGGGCTCCAAGCTCTGACCCCTGAAAAGCGTCAGGGGAACCAGGAGAACAGGCTTTCCTTCCGAGGGAAAAAGCTTGGCTGGGATTAAAGGTCCCACCAGCAGCTGCGGGAAGCAGCACAAGCTGACAAAGTGGCTGTTTTAGAGCCGCGGGAAACTTTCTGTCGCAAATCTAAAGTGTTACCTCAGAACGAGAAAAAAAAAAACAACCCAAACACGTCAGGAGAATTCCTATAAAACGTCAGTGTGGGGCTCAGTCCGGCTGCCACGCTCTGACAGGGAAGGATCTGGGGAGGACCGTTCCCTGTCCCTGTAAGCGACGGGAGGCTCTGCACGCTGAGCACCACTGGCGTTTGAACAGACACAAGGCCAAAGAATAAAGCTGAGCTAACAGCAACGTGGACAAGATGGTTTTCTGTCTATTCCATTTTTCTTAATTTGCAGACTTCAGAAGTAGCAGAACCACACACCGTAACTAATTCAGCTTATTTCAGTTCTCCCCACATAAGGAGAAAACTTCCAGAGACTCTATTTCTGGGCAACTGAAGCTCTTCTACAGAGCTGAGCTTTCCGGACTGTCAGGAAAGACCCAAGAACATGATGGCTCCTGCCTTTAAGACTTATCTATTTCATACCTTTTGGTCCTGTTGCTCCATCAATGCTTCTTGCTCCATAAGTTTTTCCATTAAGGCCTGTTCCTGCTTTTTTCTCAACTCATTCTCTTCTTCTGCTTGCTATTTGTCACCGCAAAAAAAAAAACAAAAAAGCACAGGTTAGAGCTTCCAATCGCTATAGGGAAACTTAAATATTACAAATGAGTAACGCTATCACTTGCTGCCACGGGGCTTTCCGAGGAAGCGAGATTAGGTGTAGCAATTTAGCTGCCTCTGAACACAGTCTGAAAAAAAATGGACTGGGAGAGCCCTTCCTCAGTCGCACAAACCATCCCCTCCCAGTCCCAAGAGACAGGGTAAAGGTGGAAGCCGCAGCCGCACAGACATTCAATTTCTGAGGATTCTCCAGCGTCTCAGACAGCCGTGCTGTCTTTCAGCCCTGAAAATAATCCCAAAACAACTATCTGCGCTGCCCCGGGCTGGTGGTGCCGTGCTGTCGGGGATGGCTCCCATCGCATCACAGCTAGAGGGAGCCCCAGGCTGTTCTGTTGGGATCCCTGAGCCCCGCAGGCACCAGACCGGGTTCAGAAGGACAGAAGGGAAGAGGAGGATGCTCCTGTTTACCTTGTAGGCCTTCACAAACCGGACAAACACTGGGAAAAAGACCGAGGGGGGCGTCGTCTTGGGATTCTCCCCAAAGTACTTCACAGCATCATCAAAGGCATCCTACAAAAAGCACAGATTTACTGCATTGCACATGTTTGAAGATAAACTCACCGCCCATTGCTGCAGCACTCGGTGTCAAGGGTCTAGATTTCCTCCGCATGCGAAACCCTTGGCTCACACCAGCACGTCTACGTCTGGCACGTGAACTCAGGCACAAACCCGCAGCGCTGCTGCACCTCCTCCTCCCCGCTGCGCATATAAAGCACGTGCCGCGCAGTGACACGCTGCTGCTCACTGTGTCACGCACACCCGCTCGCCAAACCCCAAGAACAAAGAAACACCTGGGCGATTTTGGCGTCATCCTGCAGTTTCTTCAGCTTCCCTTCGTTGTTCTGAATGAACTCCTTCAGCATGGTGTTGTGGTCATGCATGGTGTACTCGCGCTTCGTCAGGTCCAGGCCCCTCTGCAGCTCCTTCACGTCCAAGAGGACGTTTTCAAGAGACACTAGGAAATAAAACCCAAACCGCTGCGTCCCTCCTGCTCCACAAGCACCCGAACGCACAGCGTGAACAATTCCCCACCGAGAAGGATCCCCGCAGCCCGTGTGTGGTGTGCCGCGAAGTCCCTCGCGTGGCACACGTGCCACCAGCGCCGGCCAGGCACAGGAGAGCGGCAGTACCTGCAGCAGCCTTCTCCACGTAATGAAGTTCGTTGTAAAAGAGGGATACGTGCTGGTACTTCTCCTTGACCACATTTGAAATATAGTGCAGCAGAGTCTGCTTTCGGTCTGTTGACTTCGTTTCTAGGAGCTGGGGAGAGAAGGCAGAGAGAACGCTGGGCGGAGGTGCAGCAGGCTCCAAGCAGAGTGACTCACCCGGTGCTCGCCTTTCCCTGGTGTATCTCCATCTGACAGGGACGGCCATAAAAACCTCATTTAACTGTTTAGCGGGTGGTTTTCAAGCTGTGGTCTGCAGAGCCTCGAAAGACACGCGCCTTCCCCTAAGCGGCCCCTCAAAACAACGATAAGCAAAGCAAACTCCTCCTGCCGGGCAGGGACCACCTTCCCCGCTGCCGCTCTCTGCTTTCACCGGCTGGGGGGGGGCGGCCGCGCGCC